AAGTCAACTTTGTATCCTGGATGCCTTTCTCTAATTCATTGGATTTTGCAGAAGAGAAAGTGACCTTCAAAAACAATCTCTCAAGAGAGTTCTGCAGTGCAGATGGACCTGATGACCTTAAAGGTAGCTTTTTTTCAAAGTACCCCTTTATCTTCACAGTAATTCAACACAGCAGGGCAAACTCAGGACTCCCATACACTTGGTATGAATTTGAACAAGATTTCTCTTATTTTTATTGCTAACATAATTGCTAAAGGAAAGAATGCTAGAAAAATCAGTATTTTCTAAAGTAGTAATTACATCTTCCTTCCTTTCAAGTTTGTTCTGAGTTTTATTAATAAATTATGTTAACTATGAAACTAAAAGAGGAAAACTTTCTTCTTGTGAATAGCGTGTATTAAGCAGAATTACATTACATATTAATCACATGCAAATAGTAAACAAAAAGAAGAGCATTATGAAATGTTAGACTTACGTGTTGTGCTTCTTTCAGGCTAACCCGTATCTTAGGTCGTAAGTAGCTTTTCGGCTTTCTTCTCGATTCATATACTGCCCTCTTGAAAATCATTACTGACATCTGACACAAAGAAAAAAGTAAGTTAGCAACGGTGTTACGTGTTCTGTCTGTAGAGACTGTAACTACTCTACCTGTTTATAATGAATTGCAGAATGATACCTTTAGAGTGGCCTCTCGAAAAATCTTTTTTGTCTCTGAATTTTCCAGCAAAGAACTGGTATTTTCTAATTGCTTCAGTTCATCAACTTTAATTAGACCACGGCGAGCAAATACCTGTCCAATGTATTTTAAAAAAAAAAAAAAATTATACTCTGTTTTCATATTCTGGATGTCGGTATTTAATTTTAGAATCATATCATTCTTGAATTCAGACAACTGCAAAGAGCTGCAATGAAAGCCAGGTCATGAACAACAATTGAAAAGAAAACCTTAGCAAAATACCTTTTGCATATATGCATGGGGGCTGGCCACTACTTAATGCTAGAAGTCTATGACTATGTTTATATTACAAAGTACTACTGCATTTAACTTTGAATTGATTACACATTTACATGTGGAAACACATCTCTACTTTGCAGCTAAATTTTGGAATATGGGCAAAACTCTAAATACACACTATCTGACTATAAGCAGAAATATTTAAATAAATATTTATTTCCCGTTTCATTGCATTTGAAATGCTACATATGGTAAATCAGGATACCTCTCCATGAATGCTGGCTTGGCCATCAAAGTAACACTGAGAAACTGCAGTATATAGGGTGGTTCTCCACGTCAAATAATGTATGGATAAGAGCGGAACGGATGATTCCATACATATACTGGCCCACAGTAAGTATTCCAGCACCTGTATTGGAGAAATCCAGTTTCAAACTGAATGCATTTTAACCTGTATAAGCATACGTCCTATTACTAAAGGACACAAGAAAGACTTATCCTCACCTGGTAGGACAAATTAAAAGAGAGGGAAAAAAAATCACAAAAACTGTATTAATTTTAACAGGTTTTATTGTCTACAGAGCATTCCTCCTGCATATTATTGGGTTTTTCCCATCTGAAACTGTTGTCAAACATATTTTAGCCTCCAAGCTACCTTAACCACTCCAGTTCACTATAGCCTTGCCACCATGACAGAGGTCCTGCCCTTCTCTCTCATCTGCTCTTATCTTGAGAGTTATTCCTCTCCTTCGTGTCAGCTCTAGTTTTTTCTAAGTTAGTTTGCAGCTAGATCAGCCAGTTTATTTGTGATGCAATGGAGTATGCCTTCTTTGGTGACAGCCTGTGCTTAGATTAATTTACAACCATGGAACTACACTATCAGCTCTTACCTTTAGGGCCAACACAGTCATTGCAGCAGTCTAATTTTAAGAATCAGCCCTACTAAATTGATTGAACAATATCTTCCCCTCGTATTTTCTTTGGATCAGCTGTTCCCAGAGGTACACAAAATATGCACAACCTTAGTCCTAAAATAAGTCAATATACAGATTTTCTTTTTGTCTGAATTTAAAGAATCTGAAATACCTACGATCGATTCTTCTGTTTCCTGTATAGCAAATGCCTGAATACATGAAAGGAGGTGCTAAATAATGTCTGACTTCAATAAAAAATGTTCAAAGAGAAAAAAATCTTTCCTGCTCAATGAAAGATTAATATAGCCAACAGATAAGAAAATATACTGGATAAAGGCTGAGTCAGGCTCTGTTCAAGTTTTAGGAGTAAAAAGTAAAGCTAAGACAAACAAAGATTATATTCACCGTTAAAAAGAAAAAGGCAGGCGGGGAAAGGCCAGGTAATTTTTATTAAATATTTACAGCTAAAAACCTAGCCACTAGGTGTCAGTACATTTCCACATGTTTAAGAAACAAAAGACCAGTCCTTGGGACTTGATATAGTCGTCCAAAAAAAAGCATCCAGAACCCCCTGAAACAGTCTAACACATCCCATCTCAAAGACCAGCAAGACACTATGCTGGGCTCCATTCCACACCTGAGGAAGGAGCAGAGTCATGAAGGCATGAGGGCTTAGAAATTAGCCATTCAACATTTTATTCCCTTGTGACAAAGTGTTACTCTTGGCAATGACAATGAAATAGAAAAGTCAGGGTACAGCGTTATGCAAAATACAGGTGCATTTTCCAATCTTCTATAAATTTTTCAAATGTCTCTGTTTATTTTGCCATACCTTAGGAGATTGACCTATCATCATCAAATGTCTGCATATGGTGTAAATATGAATAGTACCTGCAAAAATAAATTAAAATAAATAAGAAACAGGTAAGTTCTATAATCCCACATTAAATTTGTTATGCTAACCAACTGAAACTTTTTCTTAATATCTGGGTTGTTATTTCCAGAGAATGAAAAATAAAACTAACGACTTTTCTATATAACTACTTTTAAATTAGAGAAGATGAAGCCATTAAATTCTTGGGAGATGTTAGCTTCCAAAATACCTACACAATTTAAGAATGAAAACTTAAAGATATACTATATCAAATTTTTATTAAGTAATTGATAGAGAGAATAATCTTATTTTTATCCCCAAATGCAAGCCTTTTTTAAAAAAGCATTACCTCTCCTTACAGACCTTACCTTACATGATTCTTTTAGTCTGTCATGGCACTGTCCTGGCAGACAACACCACTATTATATGATATTAAGTATGATAAGTGAAATGAAGAAAATTGATTGTGACTACAGTTTTCAAAAGCATCAAAGTGACTTACAAATAAAATCCTGTCAAAAATTTCCCTAATTTAGGCTATGTCACAAAATTGCTTTTAAAAAATCAGCCCTAGATGTGGAAAAGATATTGCAGTTCTGGGGAAAAAAAAAAAATGTCTATTATTCTGTCTGTACGAATGTTCAGAAAGGGACACTGTGGCAGCGGGAGGCATCACAATGTCAACTGTCATAGCTAGAAGGGTGTTATTATCCCAATAAGCAAGAATGGAGCAAGCATTAGGAAGATTTCTTTGTATCAGTCAAATGTGTAATGAGACACAAAATCTATCACCAGAAATTGCAGAAAAATGCTCAGGAACTAGGGAAAATCTGAGTTATCGCCTACTTCTAATTACATTAGATTATTTGCTAGGCTTGACCCACACACTGATAGTGGGACTTAAGAATGGCAGGTGATCATATTTTAATTTTAATTTTTCTCCCATAGGAACAGACAAACAAAAAACCACACCTCAAAAGTAGTGACTGAGGTCAGTAGCAGTCACAACAAAACAAAAGGATAAAAATTTTGACCAATTATGGCTTGGAGAAAATAAATTTTCCAAAATTAAATTAAAAACACACTATCTCCTCAATTAATACTGCGACAACTGACCATAGTAGAACAAATTAATAATAGTCTTTTGACTTGTAACTAAATAACATTGCCTTTCAAAACAAAAATACCTGTTGTTCTTGAAATAAAAATCTTGATACACCATTCTCAGTTCACAGAAGTTCCAATTTTTCCTCATTTTTTTCCTAATTCAAACATTTATAAGTAGTACACTAAAATCATATACAGATATTCAAATCCTTAAATGTCATATGGTATTTTTCACAATAGTTGTATTATTAACCCTAGCCTTAAGATCATTTAAAAAATCAAAGACATAATGTCAGAAAATTATTTTCTACTCTTAGATCTGCAATCCCCTTTTCAAAAGAAAACACCAAACCAAACTCATTAACACAAACATTTGATTGATAAAAAAATCTTGAGGGTTTTTTTTAATTAGGTTTCACTCAAAAAATGCCCTTATTATGCTGTTAGATTTCATTTTATTAGTACACTCTAACCACAGCTACGATGAAAAAGCTATTACTTTTACAACAGTCCACCTGAAAAAGGCACACTATGTAGAAACTTCAATTTAAAAATCCCTTGTTTTAGAAAAAAAAAAAAAAAAATTAAAAAACCTACTGTGATAGAAGACTAACTAGAGATTTATTCATGACCCTTAGGTTGACCCTAAAGAATATGTAGAAAGTTTCCTCCACAGGTTTGCTTAGCAAAGAAATAGAAATGAAAAGCCTGGGGTACCATTGTAGATAAGCCAACACAAATTCTCCTGAGGTAGAGCCACTTGCATAGTGAGTCGTAATGAGGACAAGACGTTGAAACAAGTCTGCAGGGACTCTTGATTCTGGAGATTGCTGTCACTGCTGCAAACCATCTGATAAAGGCAAACATTTCTCTGTTGCAAAGCATGGAGCTAAAACACATGGAACATATATAGAATTATTATATACTGTTAAAATAGGCGTACACGTCAGTTTCACATCAGCAAAGTACAACAAAATGGTGAGTACCAAAAACCAAGCATACCAGAAAAAAAAAATCAGTGTGGCATTGAAATGAGCATTAGAATATGGAGAAAGTGCTAAAGCTTTAAGGTTGCTGTACCATTAGCCTGAGTCAGCTTGCACTGTGTGGAAATGCACCTAGAGCACTAGGGCTTCTGAAAGGGGCACAGGGAGAAAGGATGAATGAGGCATTAAACTGATAATCAAAGAATCTGGCTTTAATCGTCTCTGTAGATGTCCTCTGCAAATTAAGGCAAGTCTGAAATTTTCTGCACTTCTCCATCTGTATCACAGATCTATTTCTCAGTCTCATCCGTTACTTTTGTCTTCTGTAGATGCATTGTTCCCTCTCTTCCTTGTAATACCTAACATAATGTGATCTTGGTCTTGTCTGGAGTACAGTATCATCTGAACAAATCAGCATGTGAGAAAATAAGCTAAGTGGGACATGGCCAGTCAGTACCTATCAACCTCTCAGAAGCCTGCTAACATAATATTTGAAATTATATTAATTTTGCAGTTAATTCACTGGAACTGGAAGTTTCAAGACCTGGAACTCCATTTCTATGATTTCCTCTCTGTTACATTACAAAAACAAAAACTAGCCACAGAAATCTGGCCAAAAAAAATTACATATAAAGCCTTTAGATGTAATCATTTGACACATTAACATTAGTTGTTTCCAAATGTGGAGATCACTGTCAAACTAAAGTCCATATCTGAAAATTTAGGGATATCTCAGTGTCCAATTTATATCTCAAAGTCCAATTTATAGAACAGGCATTTTAGTACAGACTCATGATAACATCTGGCACTAGGATTGGTTCAAGATCTAGGCAGACATACAGAAAGCAGGAGAAACCATCTCTGGAATTTCAAATTTATTTACAAAGCATTTTAAAAATAAATAAATAAATAAACAAATACAATGGATTAACATAGTCTTTGATCATACTCTCTCTAGGAAGCTGAACTATGTTTGAAAAACAAAAAAAATATATATAAACAGAGTATCTCCTCTATCATGACATCTGCTTCTAGCTTTTAAGCAAACTGTCTGCTTTTTTCTCCTTACTAAACACCTATTTACAATCTAACTGACTAGAGGAATATGAATTTGTTTAGCTCAATACACACGGGATGCCTATGGTTTCCTTTTGTTGTTCTTGATCACAGAATAACTTGCATTAGTTTACTTCAAAATATCCACCTTGTACTGAAAATAGACCTTCTCAGCAAAGAACTGCTTAAGGTAAAATCTAACATGCAGTTAGCATTTCCCCACCTACAGAAGCACTTTCTTCCATGGATAACAAATGATAAATTGCAAACCCCTACCTCTATAAGCAATTAACACAGAAGGACGCCAACATACTCTTGAGGTCACTGAGCTACCCAGAGCTTAGAGCACTCACAAAACTATACAGCATTCTGTCTCTTTTGTTCACAGTGAGCAAATAAGCTACTGAGAGCAATGCAATGCTGCTTTTTACTGTGTCATGAGGGTTTTTTACATGTAGTATATTTGCACATTTGTGGCACAAATTACAGTACAATGTTTTAATTCTCTTGCACTCTGCCCAGTTCTTAGATCACACGGTACAGAAATTTCTAGAACAATTTCAGGACAGTTATAAAGTTCTGCCCAGATCCTGGTTCTAACAGTGGTTAATAGCAACTATTTCAGAGCAAAAACTGCTGTAGACAGTTACAGAATAACCTATTCAGAGAAAATTGCCTTTTTAATGCTAAACTGATAGTGGTTGGCTTAAGCCACAAAAGCATAAGCACTCATATCCTCTTAAAAACGTACACCAACTCTGGAGTTCATACCACACATGTGACTGTTAAATCTCAATACAATCTCTATTGACAAACTATTAAAGATTAGTTAGTATTAATATTTAATTAATATGAAGTACATTTGTGGAGGATAAAATAGGCTACTTATTTTGAATCTGTGAATGTCTTTGACAAAAAAAAAAAAAACCCAAATAACCTACCGTAAGTGCCGCATTTTTGTCTCTGAAACCATTTGGAAAAAAGATGGATTTAAATCGATGCACGTCATCTGTGATATCATCAAGGTTTACAGAAACAAATTGCTGAAGGTATCTTCCATAGCACTGTAGAAGTGCTAACTTATATTCCTGAAGAACAAATAATAAGTACTTTTTATAGTTTGTATATTTCTATAAAACGTGCTATTTTTTATTACCTTTATGTGAAAAAAGTATCAATGTGAAAGAGCAGCTGGAAGTAAAACACTAAAGTTTCACACAAAAATTCAGCAATGTAATTTCTAATGTGAACACTCAGCATATGAAAGGTTCAAGTACTTAAAAGAAGACCTTGTGGTTTGGGAGTTTCTGTTTATTTTAATCATAAATATGGCATATCAGACAACAATCGTAAAGTATGATCCTGAACAAATGTAATAAACTCAAAGTGTTCCTGGAATGTCCCGCAGCTCTGCAACAGTAGTGATAATAATACCAGACTACTGAGAAAAGTACTTTATAAACAGTACACAGACATTATCACATTTCTCTCCCTTGTCTCCCTGATGTCAAAGCCCCTTTTTTATAAAAGCAGAAAGGAAGAGAAAAGGAAGAATGAGATGCACTAAAAAAGAATGAAGTAAGCGACAACCGGAATTTACATATGGCCAAGAAATCAGCATTAACAGACCAGAAATTGCCCCTGGGTCTTTAAGAGCTGTTAACAAACAGGATGTTGCTTTATGTCTCATTCAAAACAGAGCTCCCCAGCAGCATGTTGAACCACTCTAGCATCATGCTGAGACTATAGTTCAGCTCTGACTCAGATGTGGAAGTGCCATTCACTGACTCACCTCCACCACTTCCTGCAGCAAAGATTATTTAGAGGTTTCTCTACCAACCTCACTAATTCTAGCACACCACACCAGTCGTGATAAATTCCGGGGGAAAAAAGCAATTAATTTGTATTCGTAAAAATGTTCCTTTAATGTTTAATCACAGAAAATTCAAAAGCATTTCCTTGCACTCACTTTTTTCAACATAAATTCCTACCACCACAGTGACATGTACCCTAAATATTTGATCATCTGAGGAGTCTCATTCACATGGCCCCGCTGTCCTCTTTGCTGCATGAAAGCAGCGGCCGTACATAGAAAATTCTGCTTTCCATGGACAGCTACGGGCAGTCGGTCACTTGTGTAATCTAATACATATATTCAGGCTGTGATAACTCTTAGAAACCAGTCATGGATCAGAACATCATTAAACTAGTTACTGATATATAGCAAAAAGGTTATTTGTCTCCCAGTTTAAAATATCTATGTATGACAGAGATAACAGGCAGATACAGGCAGAGAGGGAGGGGCAAAAACTTAGTCAGTACTGATCAGGACAATGACTAATGGACTAACTAATTTCCAGATATATGACAAAATGAATTTAGATGTGTCCTAAAAGATACATAGCAGATGTATAATAGGAAGGAATTTAAAGTGAGAAGGCATTTAAAAAATAGCAGGAGGACAGAAAGTTAAGTTGGTGCTTACCCATTGACTACTCATATTCAGTTATTCATTTTTAAAGACTTCACATTATTAAGTACTACATAACATAAAGGCAGATTAAAATTTAAAATAATCAGCAGTAGTTTTCAACTAGGAGTCAAGAGGGGTACTTATGGAATAGGCTCTACCCTACCTATCACAGAACTCGGTGTTACACCACATTCATCTTTCCAGTAATGCATCAAAATTTGTAGCTAACATCCATCTCATGTTTTTTTCTTTCTTTTTTTTTTTCTCCAGGGGAAAACATTGATTAAATGAAAGCTAAGTTTGTGGAGTCAAAGAGATGCACTTAAAAACGGGAGTTCCAAAGACAGTTCATTTCAAAGTTTTAGGCTGGCCAGCAAAACAACCTTTTCAACGACATCGATAACTTCACCTTTACTGTAGAAAACCACATTACGCAAGAGGACTGAAGCTGCAAGCAGAAGTCTTTACCCAGAATTCTAGATTATTTTTAGGCAATCTAGGGCCGGGTCATCAGGCACCTTGAACATAATGACCAAATTAGTACACTTGAGTTTTGCTACAGGAAGCCAATATAAAGTACAGAGAGCAGGGTTTGATGTATTTGAAATAACCCTACTGAGTACACTGCGCTGTGAGAGCAGCAGCTCCCAAGTACTAAAAGCTTCATGTAATATTCCAAGCAATTCCTGGGGCCCAGAAGCTATGAAAACTTAGGAAAACATGAATATGAAGAAAACATGAATGGAATTGCCTAGGCAATGAAGTGGCTGTTAACAAATGCAGTAATTCAAGCTTAAGAATTTCTGTGAGTATTCCTAAACCTGCACCATGAGCCTATACCTTCAGTTATAATGGCTCCACAGTTATAGAACTCTTCTATATGCCTTCTTCAATCCATCAGTGACTGTTGAGTGCTGCTGAAGTTCAGCTTCAGCTTGCTGTTCTTTATTCAGGAGACATGCCACTTTTGCAGAATTCTTTAGGGCAGATGCAGTGAAGGATAACATCTGCATGACACTCAATACCTTTGCCGTGGTCTGCGGAAAAGCTCGTCTAGTAGCCAATACATATGCTTTCCATAAACAGCATGAATAGCATTTATCCTCGCTGGATTCCATAAGTGAAGGACATGATAGTGGAAGGATAGTTTCACTGGATATGTTCCTCGAAAAGATGGCCCCTCAACCTATCTTGGTACAGTTCCAATTATGCCCTCTTTTTTTCTGGCAGAAAAGAGGGAAACTATCAGTGTCATATGCTGCAGAGGATGAAAAAGGGTGCATATGGGTGACAGTTGGCATTTAATTGCTTTCCTAATGCAAGAGTCAATAGATTGTTCTTAAAAACAATTTTCAATTTAAACACAGTGTCAGTTACCTGTTTTTCTTTCCAGGATGGGGGGAAATTAAAATTTAATACTCCCATTCTGAAAAAAATACAGACTTCGTTCAACCTAATTTTTTTATTCCCATTTTGTTCAAAAATTAAGTAGAAGTTACAGAAACCTTTCCAAATGCATGGAAGAATTCTACTAATACAGACTTTCACGAACTTTTGTGCTATATATGATTTGTCTATTACAATCAACTTTTTAGAAGACTAATATCCAAAATCTGTGTCCAAAATAGGCCTGAAAGACTAAAGGACACCGTTAAAATGTACACTTGACTGGTTCATAACACAGACAGACTAAATAGCCAGAGTTTTCAGCTAGGAAAGTATTAATGACCAACTAAATATCTTCTAATATGTCCGTGGCAAAAGGTAGAAAAATCCACTGATGGATCATTAAAAACACAAAATCGTACTAAGCAGATAGCATCTATGAGCTGTCCCTTACTCTAAATTATGCTAATTCTCTATAAACTTTAAATGTATTCTCTCAAGCAACTTTTCAAGTACTGAACCTTTACAATAAATTAACCTATAATTCTGTAATCCATCAGTATTTCTGCTTCGTAACTCCATCACTCGGGATCACAGATCCTTCTTCAGTCCTAAAAGGAATGACTTGCAAGTAGCTTTCAGCTGTACATATTTGAGCTGCTTCTGCGTGTTGCTTAGTAATTACCCTTGAAAGCCCCAGATTTTACAAAATGATCTTCTGACACAAATATCACTGACGTAATAAGTGGCACACCTTTGAGGGCCTTTTTCCCAGCAGACGCAAAGGACAATTATCTGAGAACACAACATAAAACCAGCCTTACTGAGTCAGACCAATAGCTACTAGCCCAGTATCCCATCTACAACAGCAGCCAGTAACAGATGACCAGGTTAAGAGTATAAAAATAGTTATCATGTAATGAAACATCCCCCAAACACTCTCAAAGTCTTCAGCAATCTAGCTCCTGGATCTTTTTCAGTTGTGATTTACCTTTTTTGAGGAGACCAGAAGTGCACACAGAATTCAAGATGCAGGAGCATCATCGATGCATACAGTTGTATAATGTGTAACTGCGCTCTGGTTTTTGTTCTCTGTTCCTCTCCTGATAATTCTTTACACTCAAATTTGGTTAACTGAGCACCGAGTTGACATTTCAGTGAAACAAACCACCATTGCTCTATCACTGTCAATTTGTACTTAAGCAGCATCTACAGTCAGATATTGTACTCTACTGTGCTGAAAGATTTTGGGGTGTTCAAAAAGGCGATGGGTGTACAGAAGATACAGATATAGAAAATATATCAAAAAATCAGGGCAATTTTACAATAATGAGAGCAAGTGACACAAGCCACCAACTCTCACTGGAATTATTTGTAAAAGTTTTTGCTACTTTCTAAATAGCTTCCAGTAAAATAGGATTAAAAATTAAAGTAACATAGAAACATAATGAAACAAAGACTGCGTGAGCCTTTTCTGTTTTCATGTGACTTACTTTGATCTGAGCAAGGGAATCACCAGCTTTCAGAAGTTTTTCATTGTAATACCACTCTGGCAGTCGAGGCTTATATTTGATCCAAATATTAAACAAAGTATTTGCTCTAAAAAAGATATAGGAGAAAAGGTTTCAGATTAATCTGGCAGTAGACCTGTCATAACAAGTAAACAAATCAGGAAAACTTCAAACTGTGAAAGCTCCTTTCTTCCAAACCTATTTGAACCTCTACATATTTCAAAACAACTGATCATTAAAACTGGATTTAAAAGGCAGCCAAGGACATTTCTGGGTTTCATTTCTGTCACTAGTTTTTATCACACATTTAAAATAGGATGAATTTTCTCCTGTGTAAATTCTTATTAAAATGTCACTGTATTAATCTCCTTGCATTGTTCAAACATGGTCACAAGCGGAAAATCTGTCTCACCTTTCAGCTAACATTTGAGAGGTTCTGTTTAAAGAAACAATTTGATATTTTAAAGAAATTTAATGAATTACAGCTCACAGCAAGTATTGGACTGGAAACTTCAAATACTAAGAGCAGGAAAAAAGATCCCAAAATAACAATACATGTCAAAAACTTGGGAACTGATAGCCATGAAACAAACCACAGAGCTATAATATATAGAGCTATACCATGAATCACAAAAGAAGGAAGTCATTAGAAAGCCTCTAGCATGAACTGCATTTGGCATGAAATGTTCGGGAATTTCAAATCATAAAGGGTAGGATTCACAGAGACACAAACGACACATTTGTTAAAATAGAAAGGATTTTATGGCAATAGTTGCAATGCTCCTTCTGTTGCCCCTGCCTGTTATTCTAGCCACAGTTGTCATCAAGGATTACTTTGTGTAACAAATTACTTATTTGGCTGAACCAGCAAGCCTCCCACAAACACTAACTGGCTCTAAGCAGTTTGCCTCCTCTACAGAGGAACTGACTACACCATGCCAGTATTATAGTCCCTACTGACTGCGGTTCGACGGGTTAGTGCCCTCATGTGTTCAACTTTCCCATCCTAGACTTCTTTAAGAAAGATATATTCAAACTGTAAAATAATAATCGATCAGACAGACTGATAATAAGCACAAGGATTTTTCAGAAAAGAATCCTGTTACCTAATTATTAATAGCATTGACAGCGTTCACGGTAGCAGGCATCTCTTACATTTATTCTCTTAACAAATCACTTGTATAGAAGCCTCAGCAAAGAGTGCCTTGTGAAACTGCAACAGCTAAATTATTCATAGGTAACACTTTATGGGGAAGTAAAACAACTGAAAAGAGAGGAATTAATGTTTGAAAACCACCTTCTAGCTGAATTCTCACATGTAAACCTTATGCTTACTGGTGTGAGGTAACTGGAACTTTTCAACCTCTTAAGACAGGGATGGTAGACTAGAATGCAAGACAATTTCTTAAACTGTTTTCTGGCATTCAGGAACTTGGAATCCTTCTCAGTCTCCCAGACAGCTCTTCATTTCATCTTATAACAAGACTCCCAATAACAAAAAAAAAAAAAAAAAAAAAAGGCACAACAAGTAACATCATTTTTTCCACACAGAAAGCTGCAAGCCACCTTCACATTTCAAGGTGAAACAGACGGCTGTATGGGAAACCTGTAAAAATGATCTTTAAACCAAAGAATTACAAAAGTCATAATCCTTTTTTTCTAAAAGTATCATCACAGCACAGTTCTTAGTTCCTGAAAGTAAGCAGCAAAGAAATAAGTAGGACATTCTAGAGGTGTATCCTAAAGGAAAAATGCAGTAACAGCACAAAGTAGGCCAAAAGCAACAATCTGAATAAAGTGTTCTAAGGCATTATGGTTTTTAAGCAAACCATAGACCAGTGTAATGAAGAGCACCTTCCAAATGGGGAATGAGTCCCTCCTGGTCCATCCATAACCGATTAACAGCCTGGGTGGTTAATGACTTCTTATACTGAGAGAAGTATCCCACTCCAGTTAGCAGGGACAAATCTGCAAAAAGCCTCCAAAGTCAAGGAATCTGTCAGGCATTTAAGCAGAGTTGCCTTGGACTATCAAAGGAAGAAGCTTAGGAAAAGCACTGCAGAGTCCAAGAGGTTTGATGGATACTGCTGGGGTGGAGAGGAGGGAGGGGGAGCAGGGAGCGGGGAGAAAGAAGGACAAAAATAAAAGATAATTATCAGGTTGTAAGGCTGTGAAGTAACCGATAGTAAGAAGGACCGTGGATAAAGCTCTGGAAGGTGAGACTAACAAATTTCTTTAAGACTGTCCGCTGGAAAGTCCCCAGTTGAAGGTCATCTTCATTTTTTGTTTTGAATGTTCGTATTAACACAGGAGATTCTTAGATGTAATAAATGAGAAACAAATCTGTAATACACTAGTTTAGTCAAGTAGTGACAAATCTGACCTGACTTCCAACTTCAATGGGAAGATCAAGGTAAACTGTATCTGCTACAACGCCATGGGTAACTACAAGTGAGTTTATGACACAGGAATGTTTCTTCTACACAGACCAGGAGGTCTCTCACAGGAGGAGAGTGAGACACTTCCCGAACAGCTCATCGCCCTTTCCTTTAAACAGGGTGCAGGACACCATAATAACAAGCTAAGCAAGGGAATTCTTAAAAAAATACTGGGCTATTGGACTCAGAGGTGAAGTTTCTTCATTTCCAACCACTCTACGAATAATAAAAAACTTTCCCTAAGGTCAACCCATAATAGTGTGCACAGGGTAAGGCCCACATGGCTACACTTCTGGGCTAAAAGTCTGATTAAAAAGATTCCTGCTTCTAGTACAGGGCAGGTCCTCAGTAATTTTTGTTTCTTACATTAGAACATTGTAAGTGCCTAAATTATGGCCTTACTGTTGACTTACCAATCCCAAAGGCTGACAGCATTGGAGGAATGAAGCTGACAATTTTATTTTTCTAAAATGAACATGCTTGCCATGTGGAAGCTGGTTTTCTTGCTCCTCGAATAACAAGATCACTTTGATCTCAACCCATCCCAGGAAAAGTAGCTTGACAAATGACACAGCAAGAAGTCTTTAAAGCATTTAGGAAAGCATCTGTAATAGCCATTACCTTCAGAAATTCTTAGGAACAACTAGACTACAGCTGGTTCTGCAAGCAGCACATGCTCCAATTTTAAGTTATCGAACAATGAGAGGCAGGGAGAAAAAACCTTGAAATTTCACAATCATAAATAAGTACTCATGACTTTGCCAGCTGCCTGAACATATGCTAATAATCAGAATTCCAGTCTTCTACCTCTGTACTGCCCTTATACAAAGGAAGAATGACAAAGGATGCAGAGCTTCGTGTTACACAATGTTCTCAATGCCCTGGAATTTTGGTGTGGTTCACCACTACCAGTGACTTCTGGAATCAAGACCCATGTAGCGTTAGCTCTCATCTTCATGATATACGCTGCAGAATTTTTTGGATGAGAAAATGCCCTCATGCTAACTGAGTTATGTGTGGACATGGGTCACAGATACCAGGTTGAATAAGACAGCCTACTCAGGTCAAAATATTCCAGAGTGTAAAGTGACTTGGACACACTGTTCACAAAAACTGGCAACTTGGCATGACATTGCAAACAGTTCAGATTCAGTACACCCGACTCCCAACCAGATGATACAATGAAATGTGTAAAAGATACAATGAACGTGTTCATTATCAGCAATTTTGGTGGTGTCCGAAGCAGCTGAGTGATGTTCCTAGAGGGGATAACTTTCAAAGTAAGAATACAGACCAGCTAAATCAAAAAAAGGTCTGAAGCCACAGAAAGGATTAAAAATAGCAAGGCACTGAAATCAGCTGCTGAAGCAACATAAAAAGCCAACATAATGAGATTCAAAACACTAGAGGCAAAAGCCTGGAGGCTGATACCTGCATGATAGATCTAGGCCTAGACCTGGAGATGAACATGCCACGTAAACAAATTAGAAATCCAGATAGCTTACAAAAGCAAAGATCTCCAGTGCAGACAAATGCCAGGCTGCAGAATCTGAGTACCTCCTGAAAATATATACAGATCCTTTAGAGAACAGTCATTTGTTGTCTACATCTAGGAAAGTATTGAGTGAAACACGTAAGGGTAGAAGCTGCACCTAAGTGATAAGCTAGCCACCTTGCAATCTAACTCCTGAGCTGGTTTTGTATGAAATTTTTATAACCTGGGAAACTTGCTTTTTTTAATGTTAAAGACCTGTAAATTTAGAATAGAACACTGCTCAGATAATAACGACAGAAAATTTACCTTGAAAGAAGCAGTTGAACTCTTATCTCATAACATACCTACATGCAGGAGGGAGAGCTACATGAGAAATGCACAGTCTCTAAAAGACATATGCAAGCGCTATGAATCATACACTGATTCCAGTTGCTCTGTCTTAAGTGCATTACAAAATCTAGATTTATGCATACCCACAGATATGCATGTATGCGAGCAAACAAATATGCACAATTATACTTGCCATATGCTCTGCCTGCATCTATGGGTATAAAAATATACCGACGTAGACATAGACATATGCACAAAAAGAGCTGTGTGGCGTTATCCTCATGTAGCCCTACTGCAAGCGCATCTTTTAAAGGCATGTACGTGCCCACAAGTATTCGCCCACAAGTATTCACGCAGCAGCACATGCTGGTGGGCTGCCAGCTGCTCCAGCACTGGGAAGGGATTTTCCTACCAGAAAGCTCAGGCAGCTCTGATATAGCCAACAGTGATGCTGCCAACTTCCACAACACCTTGTGCTTTTTCCCTAAA